AAATGTAAATTCTAGTTTAGTAATGAAATTATTTATTTTTATTAGAAATTGCTAAATCCATTCATTTTATTAAATTTGCTAAAACTTAATCTTACCTTGAAACAATTATAAATTTCAGCAATCTTGCTTTGGGGGACACACTCGTATGTGAAATACGGGCCATCAAAACGTGACTTCCATAGTGAAGTGATAGCCCGAGGGATGTTTGGATCAGCAAATTGGAGCTTATCATCAGTGAGTTTAACCCATTTCCTACTCTCTCTATTTTTTGGAGGGCGTATTCCTTTGAAATTCCTGCTCCGTCCTTTTTTCCCAGTCGAGGATGAAGGGCCCTTGTTTTCATGATCAGGTGCAAAATTATAATTCATTAATGGATCAATCGTTTGCTGTATATCCAGAGCTACGCTACTATCAGCAAACAATTGTGGGTGATTAAAATTGTGTTGCTTTTGTGATCCTGAGGAGGAAGATCTCCTCCTTGCTGAACCTGCAGGATTTCCGGACATCCTGAAAAATGAATAACAAAATAGTTATTAATATATTTATACAAATAATAAGTAACAAATTTAGAACAATCATACAATAATTCTATTTTAAATGAAAAATATATAACTTGATAAAACAATATATGTAAGACAAAGAAATTTTAATACATATATTTAATAAGTAACCTGGACTCATTCAAGTTGACACATCTTGATATGTTGGAAGCAAACCCATCTGGAAAGCGCAACTGTTTTAGCCATGCACATAGAAGCTTTTGTTTTTCAGATGTCAGTGCATAACTAGCATTAGGTTTCACAAGCTTACCATGCGTATTATATCCCATGTGCAGTTTTCTTCGATCACAATAAATGGCTAAATCCAATCCTGTTTTCCCATTGTCTTTTGTCTTATTGTCATTCATAACAGTGTGTATTATATTATCAAAGAAAATTTTCTCACAGTGCATTACATCAAGATTATGTCAAATAAAATTATCATGCCAATAAGTTCCCAAAAAATGCACCTTTTCACCCAATTATGGATGTTCCCAAAACCCTCAATTGTTTGGTTTTCAAATGGTTTCCCAAACAATACATCAGGAAGGTTTTCAACTCGGTGACGCATTGAAACATCATCCAATCGAGGAGGGGGACTACCTAATTCAACCCGACCCTTCAAGAAATTACTCTGATCAAATATGAAAGAATGTGATTCTGGTAAAAACTGACGATGACAATAAAAAAAAACATGGTTTCCGACCATTTTGAAGATAAAAAGATTGTGTCATCTCCATACAATAAGGACATGACAATTGGCCATGAGTGCTCCAACCAGCCACCATACCATAACCCGAAAATTAGTTATGGTCCACATCAACATAGCCTGCATTATAAAGTTTTGCTTACGATAACTATCACATGTTTCTACACCAGTCGACCATAACATTTTCAAGTCTTCAATTAAAGGTCGAAGGAAAACATCGATATTTTCGCTTGGGCTTTTTGGACCAGCAATGACCAATGTAAGAAAAGTAAACTCTAGTCGCATGCATATCTCTCTGGTGGCAAATTATAAACAATTAAAAAAACTGGCCAACAAGAGTAGGAGGTTGAAAAATGCCCATGGGTTAAAACCATCAGTAGCAAGACCTAATCGAACATTACGAGGTTCTCTTTTAAAAGAATAATGCATTTGATCAAAATGTCTCCATGCTTCTGATTGTGCTGGATGAATGACCTCATCTGTATCACCACAACATTTCAAATGCCATGTCATGTGCTCAGCTATTTTTTGAGACATGTATAGCCTCTAAAGGCGAGGTATTATTGGCAAGTACCAAAGAGAATTCCTTGGGATGTCCTTTTGTCTATTCCTCCCTGGATTTCTCTGTTTATACCTCGCTTCTCCACAAATTGGACATGTAGTTAATGTTTTCGTATGCTCCCCATAGTATAAAAAGCAGTTGTTAACACAAGCATCAATTTTTAGATAACCTAACCCAAGCCCCTTCATATATTTTTTTACTTCATAAAAATTTGAAGGAACTTTTTCTTGATCTTTAGCACTTAACAACCTTCTACATCCTTTGAGAATGATATTAAAACCATTAGCAGTTATATTATTTACAGTCTTTGTATGCAACATATAAGAAAGCCAGCTAAGCACTGTCTCATTTCTTTTAGCACTACCAAGTGGAATTGTAGATGCATAAGGCAAGCCATAAAATGCCTTTGCTTGATTGTTTGGTTCCTCGTCCAGATGTTGATTGGGGAAATTACCTTCCATTTCCCGATTATCATCATCCTCTAGACAAAATGCATCATACACCATTTCACGAAAGTCATTCCTTTCATCATGGTGTGTATCTTGGCTATGTGATGACTCTCCCAGATTAGTAGCAGACCATGGATCTACTTAATTCATAAATGTCTCACCATGTGCCCACCAAACAGAATAAGTATTCATAAAACCATACTTAGTAAGATTGTCCCATACCATTTCCCGAGTCATCAATGGTAAATTAAAACATTTAGTACAAGGACATTTGATTAAATCATTCAGTTGAAGACCAAGGTTATTGTATGCAAATTGAAGGAAATATTCAACTCCACTATAGAACTCGTTATATATCTCTCCTCGTGGAGTTCGACGCCTACACATCCAACTACGATCCTCCATAATCTTATTAAATCAATAAAATAAAATTAATAACATGATTAGTTTCAAAATAATTATGATATCTTTCACATATATTCTAGTTGGTTAAAATCCTAATTTATCATATATATACATATATATATAAATATGTTAAATTTAATCATCAACAAAATTTATCATACACAAGTGATTGATTTTTTATTTAATAACAAAATTAATATTTAACTATACAATTATAAAAATATAGTGAAAATGAAACTTATTTTGTAATTGATGAGGATCCACAAGAGCTTAAGTATATTAACCTACAAAATAATTATTAAAATATTAATTTATATATATTTTCTCAATTCAAAGTTTCTTTATATATACCATTAAATTTAAAAAACTACATTTTAAAATTAACATAATATAACTTAAAGTTGATACAACAATAAAATAAGATCAATTATTAAATTGCTAAAAAGTTAAGTTGAAATACCAAATTTAGTCCCTAATATTTTAAATTTATATCAAAATTATCCTAAACTTTAAAAATACCAAAACTATCCCTAAACTTTAATATTTAATACTAAAATAGTACTTATCTCAACGTGTTACTTGAGATTCATTATTTTGCCACAAAATAAATTTCTTTTTCAAAAATTAATAAAATCAAATCAAATAATTATATTGTTGTACCTATGATTTTGATGATTACAAAACACATTTGAGTGACTAATTGGTTTATTTAAGTGTGTAGTTAAGTTGCTAAAAGATTGCAAGTAAACTTGGATGGCACTAAAAATAGACCAAAAGGATTCAATGTGCAGAGAGCTGGCTCTGGTAAAGTGCAGCCGGCTCTGGTGAAATGGAAGTGCAAAGAGCCGGCTCTAGAAGCTGCAGCTGGCTCTACAGGCAAAAATTGGAAGACCGTTGTTTGGCGCGCGTGGAGAAAAGATGCAAAGCCAGCTCTGGCTTTGCAGCCGGCTGTGAGGGTGCATTTAATGTACAACGGTCGACTCTTTTGAAGAATATTTAATGTATTTAAAGTCGGAAGTCCAAAGCCGGCTCAAAGTTTTGCAGCCGGCTCTCGAGGAAAACAGAATGTGCAGGAATCCCGCAAAACCAGCTCTGGAAGTTTAAGCCAGCTCTACAGAGCCGGCTCTAGGAAGTTAAGCCAGCTCTCCTAACAATCCTGCAACTCGAGCTTCGCGTCCTGCAGGGCATTTAATGACCCCCAACGGCTAGAAACAGCTATTTTCGAGCAAGGGGCTATAAATATGGTTGGTAACAGATCTGAAGAAGTTTTAGAGAGTATTGTATTGAATATCTTTACTACCAACTTGTGCTTTAACTTGAGATTTTGATCTTTGAGAGATATTTGTTTGTAATCCTCTTCTTGTGCTATTAGTGAGTGATCTTGGGAATGTGTTGATTCCTTCAAGAGTGATCTGAAGAGAGGATCTTTGGGGTTAAAGTGTAAAGGGGTGAGATTTGAGAGAAACCCTTCTTCTTGTAAAGGATTGAGTGGCTCCTTTAAGCCACTATTGTTTTTGCTAGTGGAGAGTGTGGAGGAAATCCTTGGTGAGTGAAGCCAAGGTAGAGGACTAGGTTCCAAGTGGTTGGACCGAACCTCTATAAAATCATTGTGCAATCTCTTTTTCTCAACTCTCTCTTTAATTTTTGTTTGGTAGTTGCAAAGAGGCGAAAATTCTCCAACTCCAATTCACCCCCCCTCTTGGAGTACATTGAGTCAACATATATTTTACTATTATGATATATTTTTCCAATTATATTTATAAAGTTGAGTAAATAAATTAGTACTTATAATCAAAGTTTTAAGGTCTAAGTCTTCAAATGTTAAGGACTAAATTGATACTGAACAAAAGTTCAGGGATTATTTTGGTTCCAAAAATTAAAGTTTAAGGACATTTTTAGTACTTTTTAAAGTTTTGGAATAAGTTTGACCTAAATTAGAAAGTTGAGGGACTAACATGGTTATTTAACCAAAACATTTAGGTCCTTCAACTTTAAAGTTTACATACTTTTCGTCCCTCAACTTTTTCAATATTTTTTTAATCTTTAACTATGAAAAATGCAATGTTTTATAGGTAATTAAAAGATACGAAATGCAGAAAACGGTAAGACATGAAAATTTGCCCATATAAAACCTTCAAAACTCACAACAATCATATATATTCACCTTAAAATATGATCAAAACCATAAATCTGAAAATGCTAGCTAATATCAAATACTTAATATAAAAATTTTGTCATTAATGGTTGAAATTTCACTAAAAATTTATAACAATATTATTCATAACTATTCATCAAATTTATCTAAAAGAAAATCTAATAATATTAACTAATATCTAATGAACTAATTAATAATAATATTTAATGGTTTAAATTTCAGAAAAAAAATAAAATATACATAAAATATATAAAAAATAATAATACTACTTAAATTTTACTTACCACTGCTTGATC